ATTAATTTTCATTGATTGATACGCGATGGACGATTATTCGCTTTGGAGCTTCTTCCATTTTTCCATCTCCGTTCCAACCGATCTGTTGTCCAATATTTACGCAGTAAACACATAATTGCTCCGCGAGAACGGATTGTCGAGTTTTTCTTTTTATCGAATCGAACGATAAGTTTTTGCAAACTTGATAAAATAATATTATATTATAAAATAGGTTTCGTTTATTCGTCGATAAGTTAGGTTAATTTTCATTGATCTTGGTTAATACGATACGCATCATAATTGGAAAAATTGGGAAGAAGAATTGAACGATCAGACAGGGAGAGACGAAAGAAACGACGTAGTCGTCGTAGACGAAGAAAACCGGTGACAAAAAAGGAGAGATCCGGACGAGTGGAATAATTAATAATTGGCAAGAATGAAGACTCGTACCGGGTCGGATAGAGCAAAGTGGCCCTGGTAAACGGTGGAAATGACTCGGCTAGTTGGCCGTTTCCTCATTTGCCCCGTCCACACGCTGGATCCGACACCCACCACTGAATTTAAGAGATTTTGCGGAATCCCGCCGTCTCTGCTCCTTGAAACGCGAGCGCGAGAGACACCCAACGAGATCGGACTCGTGTATCCGTTTAAATGGGTCGCATCCTCCGCCCACGCGTCCTCCGCCACCGTTTTCCACGCTTTAATTTTCTGGGATCGCGACTAGCAACTGCGACTTCAAACGACCGTTCGAGCCGTCGCCTCCAAGATTTTTGCGCGAATCGCGCACTAGAATGTCGAACGCTGTTTCCCGTAAACCTTAACAAATTTTCAATTTCAGCAGTTTAAAAATTTCCGTCATTAATTAAATTCTTCATATTTCTAATTTTTTGTTTCCAAATTTCCACGTTAGAAAATCGTTTTAAAATTCTCATTTCCTTAAATTTCTATATTCTATATTTGCATTCCTTCGTTCTCACGTTCCATACATCTTCAAGTTATATTTCTAAGTTTTTAAATTCTATGTTGTTTCTTTCGCATTCTCTCTCTCTCTCTCTCTCTCTTTGATTTCTTTTCATTTCTCGATGCGCGATATTTATATACGGGTTGGTATTATTTTGCAATTTCATAGGAACGGCTACGATTTCTCGGCGTGCCTCGACGATTGCGAGCGTAGAAAAAAATCAGGTGTTCCTGCAATTGTGCAACATGGACCGCGACGGGAACGGGGCACTCGCCCAATTGGCATCCAGCATGACTCACGCGCGCCTCTTCTCGAAGGGAAAAAGAGACGCGGCAGATCGGGTGAGCGTGCAATAAATATAAACCGAGCTGCCGATCGAGTGTACGAAAGCACCCAGCTGATCCCGCCGTCGTCAACAATTCGGTTGCGATTGCCAACAAATCAGGATCAAGCCTTTCGTCAGCCCATTCATGGAAAGATCCGATCGTTCTTCGAAATCTTTTAAACGTCTCTTCATCTTCGACGAAGGCCGACCTCTCCCATTCTCGAACAACGATCTCTCCAACTTTTCCCTCCTTACTTTTATTATTTTTCGTTGCGTAAAAATTCGAGCACGAATCCTCGAAACGATAATCTATTTCTTTTTATCCCACACTTGACGAAGAGGGGTTGAGATCAAACTGCGAAAAACGTACAACTCGTATTCAAACGTATTCAAACATATTTTTTGACGGATAAATTTTTGTATAACCATTAACCGAACGATGCATCCTCTTAAAATTTTCCAAGACACCTAATCGAATCTAGATAAGACCAATATCGATATCAAAGTATTTCTTGAAAAAAAAAAAAAAGAATCGCAACGATTAATCTTACCTAGAATCCTGATACTCGAATCAAAGTGTTGCAACGATGCGAAAAACGTACAACTCGTATTCAAATGTATTCAAACATATTTTTTGACGGATAAATTTTCATAACCATAAACCGAACGATGCATCCTTTTAAAATTTTCCAAGACACCTAATCGAATCTAGATAAGACCAATATCGATATCAAAGTATTTCTTGAAAAAAAAAAAGAATCGCAACGATTAATCTTACCGAGAATCCTGATACTCGAATCAAAGTGTTGCAACGATGCGAAAAACGTACAACTCGTATTCAAATGTATTCACACATATTTTTTGACGGATAAATTTTCATAACCATAAACCGAACGATGCATCCTTTTAAAATTTTCCAAGACCCCTAATCGAATCTAGATAAGACCAATATCGATATCAAAGTATTTCTTGAAAAAAAAAAAGAATCGCAACGATTAATCTTACCTAGAATCCTGATACTCGAATCAAAGTGTTGCAACGATGAAAAAAGCCATTTTCGAGAACAATTCTCGATAATTAAAATGATCGCAGGGACCTCGGCATAAAGGGTGAGGAATGTTTGGAGCAGAGAGGGAAAAAGGGGTGCGATAAGGCGAAAACGAAGAGGAGGCAAGGATGCGAGGGCTCGGCCGGAGGATCGAAGGGGATTTTATTTAGAGTCTCGATTCCGTCCAATCAGCGGCGATGTGTCATCGACGCGAAAATAGTCGCACTTAACACTGGCAGCTCTTTTCTGCGACCTGCCGATGCCAGCCGTATTGCATTGTGTTTTTATCTTGTAGCAGTGTTGGTGCGAGCCCATACAGCCTCCCTGTGGTCGCATGTGGCCGCGTATAATGTTGTCACCTCGTGCCCGTCGCTATTTATAGGACGCTTCGACCACGCTTATTAATAGGGGGCCGACTTAACGCCTTCGTTAATTGTGACTTATGTTAGCACGCGAACCTCTGACAACCCCTTCTGCCCCAGTGGTTTGCGCGGATTTTTTCATCGACATTGGCGTAACAACCGCCATCTCTCGCGC